TGACGGAGGCGTGACAGAAGTGATGGGCCGTCACTTTCATGAGGTGTTTGCCACCGAAGTCTCCACTCCGATGAAGTGGCATCTCCAGAGAAAGAGTTACAGGTACTCACACCTCCTGCATTAGTAGAAGTCAGGGATGCACCGAATATTCACAACTGAAATTATTCGGCTGAAAATGGCAAAAAAAAACACTTTCGGTTTGACCGAATAATTGAAAAGATTGAATAAATTGTACCGAACAATGACGGGACGTGAGGAAAATCTGCTCTGAAACTATTTTTACAAGACCCCCCCCCCCCCCCATGTATTTTTCAAATGTTTTCACCATTACATAAATGAAATAGCCAAAATGTGCTTCGCACGGTTTTGTCTTGCTTTTCAAAGAAAAAAAAAAACAATTACAAAACAACCATTTAAAAATACTGAACTTTTTCTAACATTCTACCAGATACGATCCATAACAAAGCATAATTTAATTTAAAATTAGTTAGTAAAATTATATTTTTGGCCATTTTTGAGACCCCATTCTTGAATCAGGCATTTTTATTTTTTTTATTGTACAAATAAATGCAGCCTAGAAAATATTACAGATCCCAATTTGAACACTGTGTGTGAATGTTATAATAAATGTATAAATAGAGCTGTTGTAATTATTATTATTATTGTCTTACTTTTTTAGTTTATTTTACAGAACAACAGTAATATTACAATACTAACATTTATGAATATTGTTGGAGCTTTTATTTTGGTGGAAACCCGCAGGAAGACTTCTTTTAGTTGACAGCAGCAGATTTATGAATGATTCTCATTACGATTTTTGGAAGATGTTTGTCGCACATATCGCATTGTCACATGTCTTGTAAAAATAGTTTCAGAGCAGATTTTCCTCACGTCCCGTCATTGTTCGGTACAATTTATTCAATCTTTTCAATTATTCGGTCAAACCGAAAGTGTTTTTTTTTGCCATTTTCAGCCGAATAATTTCAGTTGTGAATATTCGGTGCATCCCTGACTTCTACTAATGCAGGAGGTGTGAGTACCTGTAACTCTTTCTCTGGAGATGCCACTTCATCGGAGTGGAGACTTCGGTGGCAAACACCTCATGAAAGTGACGGCCCATCACTTCTGTCACGCCTCCGTCACCGGCTCCCAGATCCAGCATCCTCTGCCCTTTCCATTCCGGCTCGATCCGGAGAAGACTCTGAATTCGAGAACTCGAGAACACAAACATGGAGCCGCGGCCCAGAAAGCTGCGGACCGACAGGACAGGAGGCCATGAGAAGCCGAAGCAGCGCAGCAGCGCTGAAGCCTGCGAGAGAGTCAGCGGTGCTTACCCGTTGATGGAGGTTCGAGACATGACGGGGCTGAGGATGGTGGAGAAGAGCGAGTGGTAGAGCTGCGTGAAGAGCCAGCTGGACTTCTCCACGCTTCGGCGGAGGAAAGTCTGCGTGTCCTCATCCAGATGACTCTGAACGAACTGAGAGCGAACCTGTTCTCCGAGCATGTCCAGACAGCAGTGGTACCACTGCAAACACATCCACAGCATACAACAACAGCAAGAAGAAGTTAAAGGTGCTGTATGTAAGTTTTTGACTCTACTAAAGCAGTGGTTCCCAACCCTGGTCCTGGAGGCACCCCAACACTGCATGTTTTGGTGTCTCCTTAATCAAACACACCTGATTCAGGTCATCAGCTCATTAGTAGAGACTCCAAGACCTGAAATTGGTGTGTCAGAGAAAGGAGACATGCAAAATGTGCAGTGTTGGGGTGCCTCCAGGACCAGGGTTGGGAACCACTGTACTAAAGCATAAAAATATCATAATATGTTTGCAGATATTTAAGAAACATGCTAACTTAACATACTTGTTTATCTGAAAAACAATGCTACAGTCAGTTATTCTCCTTTGAAAACGTGCGTTCCGGGCTGGAATGTCGGTCTCTGTTTTGGTTTGTGAAACCAGTTTACCCAATTGTATTTCGGCCCCCCGGGTTGCCAGTTGGCAGAAAAAACAGCGTATTTCATTTCATTCATCGTCAAGTGTGCTCGTTCCTGTTGGTGTCGTCAATCTGGCAAAAAACCCTCTCCAATATTTTGAATTTGGACTGCAATACCTAGTTCAACCACTAGTTGTCAATCCTACATACAGCACCTTTAACAATAATAAGAAAAAAAAACTCTATTATGATGGTCTGTATTCTTGATCTATAACATTTACATGGTACTTCAATCATTTCAAACATGTCATGGTAAATGCGGATCGTTTTGAATGGTATTACCATGGTATTTTGATGAATGCTATGGTAATGAATGATTACTACAGTTGCCATATGTTATTACATGGTTAGTTTTTTAGTAATGTAAAAGCTACCACAACAGAAATGCTTTCTTATGGCAATACCGTGGTATTTTAATAAACACTATGGTAATTATAATTACCATGTGTCATTATATATGCATAGAATTCCAATGGATTTAAAGGGGTCACCGGCTCAGATGTCGGGAGTAAATGATGACTGCTATGTTCATTATTACATCCAACAACAGAACACCTCAATCGCTTGTTAGGAGTCATTCTTGTCTACATCTGCTCCGGCGGTGAAACAATGGCGGACTGATGACAGCACACTCAGGGGCGGAGCTAAGGTAAGACGCCAGTCCTGTGCTGAAACGCTACTGTCAATCAAACTATCGTGGGAGGGGCCTGTCTGTGTGAGGTCACACAGACAGGCATCTGAGATCGGCTCGATTTGAGAAAGAGGAAAACATTTAACCAGATTAAAAAAAAACACCGGGTGGATTTTTATCATTATAGGGTGGTTGTGTACACACACTCCCAACACACATTTCAGCTCAAACTACTTGTAAAAGTGCATGTAGCATCCTATGACCCCTTTAAAGCAACGCTAATGGTAAATGTACAAAATCATGATCTCACGTCCAAAAACATGGTAATATCATGGTACTTTAAATGCAATCACATCAGTGATGGTTCCAATATCGTGGTATCTTCACATACACTATAGTACTAAAAAATATACATATTCACATCATAGTGTTTACATGGTAAATGTTTGAACATATTGCATTACCAAGTTAGAAAAAAACAGTTTAACCACAAGTTCGAAAGCATTGTAAAAGCTTTGTGCTAGCTAGTGTAAAACTCTACAACAGTTACTAACAACCAGCTAAACGTCACTCACTCACTCACCTGCTGGGCTTCATATCCAGGTGAGTCAGTCTCGGTCCCCATGTTCATGATCAGAGCTCGAGCCAGCGGACTGCGAACATACTTCCCAGTCCACATCCTTCTCATTCCCAGTAAAAAAGACACGTAAAACAGCAGCCAAGCGACGAAGATCAGCGTCCTCATCTGCGGAAGACACATAGCGACAGACAGTGTGACTGCAACGAGCGATACCAGGCAGATTGATAACTTACTAGGCAAGAAATATGATCCCCGGACCCCAATTACAACACGCTAACAAACAAACTAACTAACCTGAAGGCGTGGTGCTGTTTACACGCACACATCTTTGTTATGCATAATCTGAACAGCAAACACATCTGGCACAAATCAGCTGAGTCCCTTCCAAACAAGTTCACTTCCTGACTGTGTTACATTTAAAAGAGCCCGACAAAACACGTGACCGCTCATATCCGATGTTACCGCCAGGCGGCGCATGTTAGGGGCCCCGTAGAGGAGAAATAAATGGGAACATGTACAGGATATAAAATTCAGCATTTTATTGCATGTGCATAAATGCATATATTTCATGTTTTTTGATTGTTTTATATGCGCTCTAATGTTTGCAACATGAAAACATCATATGGCCGATTTATAAGCCTTTTAAACTAATTATTGAGGAACTGTCCTCACAGTTTCATGGTATTTTACTGTATTACATGTACATTTATTTACATAGTGAGTATACTCACACACATTTCTGCTAGTGTTCGATACTTTTACTCAATTTCATTCCTGTTACTAAATTGTTTTTTTCCCCCTAAAAATAAATAAATAAATAAAATTCAAAGTTAATATCACATTTTTATTATTATATTTGGTCCATCATGTATCCTTCTGTTTAAAAAAATTACACTGTATTTAAAAATGGCTTTGTGTTGTTGTTTTTTAGAAAAGTAGTACACATTGCATGCATAAATGATGATTTTCTCGATGATTTTTTGTCACAAATATCAATAATTTGAACATGTAACCAACCATTTCTTAAAAACAAACACATTCTTGAGGGGTAAAAGTAAAGGAATTAGTTGATATGTTTTTAAACATGTTTTTTAAAAGATGAATTAACTGAGAAAAATGCATCCATGTAATAAAATTAGGCCTACCTGAGATCTTTTAAATAGTTAAATATGAATGGGAAGTTACAAGCTAATGGCACCCCGGATGGATGGATAAATGATAGATAGATTATGAGATAGATAGATAGATAGATAGATAGATAGATAGATAGATAGATAGATAGATAGATAGATAGATAGATAGATAGATAGATAGATAGATAGATAGAATGATGGATAGATAGATAGATAGATAGATAGATAGATAGATAGATAGATAGATAGATA